AGTATAAGCGATCTTTCAACGATCGGACAGCTTTGCAAGCACGATAAGGAGATATCAACGCGCGCGTATACATTTTCTTCTTACGTTGTTTTATGTCATGCTAATATGATTACGATTAAGATAACGTCGTATATAAAGATAATATATTTCTCTTTTATTAATTTATTTGAAAGTTTTTTTTTTTTAAATAAATTCGTAAAAAATTTTTAATTGTTTCGAAAATTATATAATAACGATCGAGTATATAAAACTTATTATTATCGTAAAATTAAATTAAATAAAATTAATTATATTGACACGATGATACATTTAATTATATTATTTTTATATTATTTTAATTTTCAAAAATGGTCGATTTATATTCATGATATTATTTTGAAGTATGTAGATGAATTTAATTGATAGGTAACGTAGTTTAAAGAGAATGTTTTATTCGAGATTTGAAAGATATATAACACGACGAACGATAATAAGGACACTGACACGTCTCAACATTTTCGAGGAAGACGATGCGGATCGTTTATCCGTTTCACTTCTTCCTTATGAGGAATAAACGAGAAAAAAAAGTTGAGAGAGAGAGAGAGAGAGAGGGAGAGAGAGAGATAGAGAGGGAGAGGGAGGAAGAGAGAAAGAAAACACTTATGGGAACCGTGTGTGAAGTAAGACTTTGTTCGAACGAGCGAGCACAACCATCCACATTGCAACCTCCTACGTTAGACTATAAATCTCTCGCAACAACCGAGCCCGCGTTGACTTAGAGAGGCGCAATTAAAAAGCGGAACGTACGTCCACCATGGGCTTCTTCTCTTCGTACGAAACAGTCGAAAAAAAAAAAAAAAAAGTCAACACAAACAACAAACTCCGTCTAGAAGAAAGAGAAGACGAGAGAGAACATGTGGATAATAAAGAAAGAAAAGAAAATTACACATGGGAAAGATGACTCTGGAATAATTTTGCAATAAGTTTGTTATACTCTTTCTCTTTTGTCCCTTGCTCCTTTTCGAGCTAACAATTCTGTTTTATTATATTTCATTTTTTTTCTTTCTGTCTTTCTTTCTTTCTTTCTTTTTTTTTTTTTGTTCTTCTTTTTATCATTTCAATTATCGAAAGACGAACAATTGTAGAATTGATTCTTTTGCATCTTCTCGATTTTTTTTTTTTTTCTTGTTTTTCTTTCTTTCTTTCTTTCTTTCTTTATGTTTGTCTTGCACGTAGCAAAGGAGTGAAAGAGGAGAGATAGATAGAGAGAGAGAGAGAGAGAGAGAGAAAGAAAGAGAGAGACAAACTTTCGAAAGGACGATCCTACTATAAAGTGTAATTTCCGTTTGAGAATAGCGAATGATGGTGGTATTAGTGGTAGTGGTCTTCTCTATGTATTTGACTTGTAAATTGTCCGATTTAAATGGCGCAGGCGAAACGACTTTCCAAGCGACTATATTGGGATTTAAGAGGCCGCGAACGTACTAGGAGAAAGACGCTTTGTAATCTATAAAGATAAATGTATATTGATTAGGCTTCTATTTTTTATTTCTTTATTTTTTTGTTTTTTTTTTTTTTTTTTTTTCCCCTCCTAAAAATTAAAAAGACCTAGTACGTTTGAAGAATCGATTTTTGAAGTTTTTGAATTCTATTTCTTTTCCTCGATGGAATGAAAAGACGATCTTTTTTTTATATACATAAGGGAGAAAGAAGGGAAAGGAAGGAAATTTTTTTGATAATTTTCACCTCGAGATATCGTCATCTTGTTAAAATCATGCTAAAGATCATCCCTTTTTTCTTTTTTTTTTTTTTTTTTTTTTCCATTTTTATTTTCCCTCCTTTTTTATTATTATTATTATTAAAAATATTCTTTTTCTTTAAAAGGAGTTTCCGTTACTTCCAGAAACGCATTGAAATCGTCGAGAAATTAGGAATCGTCGGCTGGCTAAACATCGAGCGAAATGACGTCGTTAAACGGTAGGAGAGAAAAAAAATGGAGATAGGACATAGGAAGTGACAGACAGACAGACAGACAGACAGACAGAGAGACAGAGAGCGGGAGAGAGAGAGAGAGAGAGAGAGATATGACAAGAGCAAGCAAGCAAAAGGGACTATTTCTGGCGACCCCTCGAAAGTCGTCACCACCCGCACGTTTCTCAGCATACCGGGAGCCCTTGTGAATCGTAGGGGTTGAAGACTTTCGTCGAACGGAGGGGATGAAACCGGTCCCTCTGTGTTTGATCCGCAAACACTGTAATTGCCTAGAATATTATATTAGGTACGCCGTCGTACGAATGACGACGGAGGTGCTGGAGAATCGACGATCCTCCTGCCTGCCTGCCTGCCTGTCTGCCTACCTTTCTGCCTGCCTTTCTGCCTGCCTGCCTGCCTGCCTGTCTGTCTGCCTGTTTGCTTGCTTGCTTGCTTGCTTGCTTGCTGCTATTGCTGTTGCTTTGTTGCTTTTGCTTTTGCTTTTGCTGGTGGGGGATGAGAATTCTAACAGTACCTGAAGGGTGGGGATAGTAAAAAGGAATACACTCGAAGAGGGGGTTGCTAACACCCCACATATACTACTTCACCAAAGACTACCTCCGCTCACAATAATTTATTTTACTTTCGTGGGAGGGAACACGTTCTCTCTCTTCTGCCTCTGGCAGGTATGCATTAAAGAGTTTTCCCTTGTTTCTTTCGGTCTATCTCTCTCTTTATCTCTCTCTCTCTTACTCTCTCTCTCTCTCTCTCTCTCTCTTTCTCTCTCTCACTCTTACTATGACCCTTTCTATTTTTCTTTCATCTTTCTACTTCTTTCTACTCCCTCTCTCTTTTCTTCTCTCTTTCTCTCTCGCTCTCTTACTTTCTATTAGTACTTTGAACATTGACAAAGTTTTTCTTCGTATTATTACAAAAATAGAATTGAGCTTTTCTATTTGTTATCCTTATCTTTAAATAATATCAAAATGATCGTATAGAAAATAATATTACTGTGTTGCATTTGAAGTGGATAACTTAATATTGGCAATTTCAATTTGTCTCAGGAGAATTTTTACTTTCATTTTCTCTTTCTCTTTTTTTAATCCGCCATTGTTACATTATCTTTCTCTTCATTTCTCTTTCTCTCTCTCTCTCTCTCTCTCTCTCTCTCTCTCTCTCTTTCTCTCTCTCTTTCTCCCATTTATTTGCTAAGGATGTTATCTGATTAAAAGATCTTCTTAATTAAGTTATCTCATGCAATTACGTCGTTGTCAAGCGAGACTTATTTTCTTCCCTCTCTCTTTCTCTCTTCATCCTTCATTTTTTTTTTTTTTTTTTTAATTTTTTTCTTTTTTTTTTTATTTCGTCGTAAGAAGAAACGATGGAATTTAGACTAGAGGATAATTTGAGAAAGTCGTCACATTGATCAACGTAAACGATTTCGAGCATTATTATGCTGAATCCAAATGATCTAATGGCTTGGACAAAGTTGCCTGACACTACGTATGTATCTAAATGTGCCTTTTAAAATAACAAAAGGTCAAGGTCAAAGCAAATGTCGACTGTAATGCAAATTATGCAAATTATATGTGTACTCTATGAGTTTTTCGCCAATTAGACGAGTATTCGTCACGTTTTTAGAAGAAGAAGAAGAAGAAAAAAAAAAGAGAAATTATAAGGATCATTGAAAAAAAAAATGATAATTGAAATTATTTTGTAAATTTTTGTTATAATTTTTACGAGTTAGAAAGTTTCTCTTGGTATTTCTTACAAGAAATGAATAGAAAATCAATGACGAAAATTTCCGTAACTCTTTAAATATTCTAACAAAGTACAAACAAGCGCAGTGTACCGAGAGTGTTTAGGAAGGAAAGAGTTCCGGGTTGAAGTAACATATTCATACAGAGAATGATCGGTGTACGAGAATGAACTTTGACCTGGCGTGTAAGACAAGACAAAACTTATTATTTCCAAGTCGAACTTTTTCATCGTAGATCTTTTTTTAAGTATGATTACATATTAGCATACTAGCACATAACTATCTTTATACATTTTTCTACATCGATCGAGTTAACAGCTTCTCGCGATACTCATAACATCTATGTATATGTATATTTATTACTTATATACTTCTGACAGACAGGTATATTCATATCACATACACGTGTTGTTGTTTTAAGGCCGTCGCTGATCGATTTCATACAGGCCACGGTCGTCGATTCGTTCTTATACATACACATGTTATAAATCTTTATGAGGTGTCTAAAACTTATCAAAAAAAAAAAAAAAAAATAAATAAATAAATAAATAAATAAATAAATAATAATAATAATAATAAAAATAAAAATAAAAAAAAAAATTAAAAGGAACAAAGTCATAAGAGGATTAAATTAATATCAATTTTTGTATGTCACGTAGTATCTTTTTTGTCGAGAAATTTTACTATATCATTTTTCTTTTTGATCCTTACAAGTAATTTATTCATAAAAGTGCATACTGTATAACAACATTTATTCATATGCACATATATATAAACGAAGGATCAAAAAGAAAAATGATATAGTAAAATTTCTCGACAAAAAAGATACTACGTGACATACAAAAATTGATATTAATTTAATCCTCTTATGACTTTGTTCTTTTAATTTTTATTTTTATTTTTATTTTTTATTATTAATTATTATTTATTTCCATTTATTTATTTATTTATTTATTTTTTTTTTTTTTTTTTAATTGACAATTAACACAGTCGAAGCTAATAGACCGTAAACAATTGGTCAAAAGAGGAAGTAGAAAGTGCATCGACAGAATAGAATCATTAGCTGTACATCTCCAAGTCGTATTACGTAAGAATGACTAAAGATTCCGCGATTTAATGAAGCGTGATAGACAGTCCAACATGAACGAAAGTTATACTATTTGTTTCGAAGAATTATTTTCGTAATATCGATACATCGAAAGTATATTTTACGAATCGAGTATCTTATTCTTCTCGTTCTTACGATTGTAAGAGAATGCATTTTTTTCTTCTTTCCTTCTTTTTTTTCTCTTTTGAAATAAAAACGAAATCTTAAGTCCTAATCAGTGAATCAAATTTAGGAATAGAAAGTGATTTCTTTTTTTTAAAATTCGAAATAGCAAAATGAAAGAATGATAATAAAAATTGAGAGAGAGAGAGAGAGAATGAATGAGAAGGAAGTTATATATTTAATTTATAAATAAAATATATAATGAGATCAGGAGTTACAAATATATATTTTGAAAATAAAAAAAAAAAAAAAAAAAAGAAAGAAAAAGAAAGAAAGAAAGAGGGAAAGAGAAAGAGAAAAAGAGAGACAGACAGAGACTGAGACAGAGGGTGAGACAGGTTATTTATAAAAAAAAATATAATATGATAGCAGTCGTATATTTATATCATATCTTGAAAGTAAAAAAAGATAGAGACAGATGGATGGACAAAGGGTGAGAAAGAGAAAGAAATACGAGAGATGAACTCTGATGTTCAAGAGCAAGAGAGAGGGAATCCTTTCACCGTTTCTCCGCGAGGGAAAATTGCGTGCGAGAGTTCACGTGGCTTCGTGCTCAGAATGAAGTCTCTTCTGTAATTTCAGGGCGGACGATGGCATGGCGGTACCTTCGACGATCGTCAAGAGTGAAAAAGAGGGTGAGAGGGTGAGAGTAGGAAAAGAGAAGGGAAGTTAGAGGGATCGATGTGGTTTGGCAGAGTTTATGCACTCTCTTTCTCTCTCTTTCTCTCTGTCACACACACATACACACGCGCACACACACACACACACACACACGCGCGCGGAGGATTTCAGTTCAACTCACTCACCTCTCCGAAAACGCAGAGGGACGTTGCACGCGGAAAGCCCTCTCCGTAAGTCCGCGGGGGTGGTTTTATTGATCCAGACTAACCACGCCTTCCACCCTTACTTGCCACGCCTACGAGCCACCCCCCAGGGCCACCTCGCGAATCAGTCAAGGGTGGCTGCTATGTTTTTCTTTCTCTCTCTCTCTCTCTCTCTCTCTCTCTCTCTCTCTCTCTCTCTCTCTCTCTCTCTCTCTCTCTTTTTCTCTTGTATGTATCGTATGTACGTACACATACACATATACCCTCTTTACTGTCTACACCCTCTGCAACGATTACGAAATTTTGCCGACGGCTAAATTCGATAGTATAATCGCAAACTTTAAAAAAAAAAATATCCATTTCTTTCGATTATATTTTTTCATATAACAGTTATATTACGAAGGGCTGAGAAGATTTTGAAAATCGATCATTATTTCTTCATAAAAGAATTTCGTTCGATCATTTAAAATAATTACGATAGAAAATGAAGAGGATCATTTTCTTTTATTAAAATTACAATATTGTGATGTTGTGATAAAATGAAAATATTGATTGATCTATCGTCGTCCTATGAAAATCTGAGAAAATGTGTAGAAATTTCATTTGCACTATTTTGTCTCTCTCTTGAAGAATTCATATTAACGTGTTTGCGATCAATTATCGTGATACATTCTCTGATCAATCAATGGATCCTCTGTATATTTCGAAAAAGAAAAAATTAGACATGGAATTAAGATCGTATTAGAATTTTATCACTGAAATAATCTCAATGTTATATTTGACAATTATCAATTAATATATTTCATATCATTAATCCATAAGAAACAATTTATTATAGATTTGTATATAATTATTGAGATTAATTATAACGATAGTTTATCATATTGTATGATATTTTTCTTTGATGGATTAATATTGTATTTGTTTAATTAAAAATACAATCAGATAATTGTTAAATGTATTAAACGATTCCCTTGGCAATAGAATTTTTTACGTTTTGATAAATAAAGATAAGATCGTAAGCTCATGAAAAATTGAAAATCCATAAAGATTTTCGAAGGATTTGCTTTTGTAAGATTTTCGTAATATTTAATGGAAAATACATTCATGATTTATATTCGACAAATCTTATTCATTTGAGTTGGACTAACGGATGAATTTATTTAATGTCATTTATTTTTCGTTGATGAAAAACATCTCGAATATTAATCTAAATATCGAATCCAATCAAATTTTAATAAGTCTTCTTTTTTTTTTTTTTTTTTTTTTTTTGGTTCGTATACTTTCACCATAATTTAATTTACGTTTTTTGTTTTTTGTTTTTTTTTTTCTTTCTTTCATTCATTCTTTCTTTCTTTTTCAATGGCACAGAAATGAGATTATTATGTAAGATTGATATAAATTAATGTCCAAACGAAGTTGTGGTTAATCTTTTCTTTTTGTTTCTTTTTGTTTTTTCTTTTTTCTTCTTTTTTTTTTTTTTTTTTTTTATCTTCCTTCACAGAAAGCGAATGGTCTTTGGAACTTTTACTTTCTTTCAATATCGTACGAAAAAAGAAAAAAGAAAAAAAAAAAAGAAAAAAAAAAAAGAAAAATAAAACGACCATCGTTTAACCGTGGCATCATTTTACACAACGTAGTTGTATTTGCATCGTCGAGGAAGAAAGTAACACGCGTGTATGCTCTTACATTTTCTCTCTCTCTCTCTCTCTCTCTCTCTGTCTCTGTCTCTCTCTCTCTCTCTCTCTCTCTCTCGTAGCCTATAGTTTAGTGAAAGCTCAGTTTCGTTCGATGCTTTACGACTTATTTCGCTTCAGCTCGTCTACTTAAGAATTCCATCGTCTATCTTCGCGAGTTCGACGCGCGGAAAGAAAATTTAATGTCGCGTTTGTATGCACTACGAAGGAAAGGGAGAGAGAGAGAGAGAGAGAGAGAGAGAGAGAGAGAGAGAGAGAGAGAGAGAGAGAGAGAGAGAGAGAGATAGGGAGAACAATCGTTTTCTCGTAGTTATGCTATCGATTATTACGAAGGAAAACGCGCGTCATATTTGACGATCAATATAATATGTACTTACTATATCTTTATTATCGACAAATTCTTTTTTGATTTATTTATTTGTTTTCTTTCTTTTTTTTTTTTCTTTTTTTTTTTTTTTTTCAATCGGATATCCAAAACTTATCACTTATTTTTTAAATAATTGACTAAAATGATTCATATATATCGTATAAAAGATATTGTTAAATTATTCTCGTTTGTAGATCACGATAATCGAGAAGTGGAACGTTGAAAACGTAAGAAATGTAGATCGCAAAATGTAGATCCAACGGGATAAGTTCTTCTACCTTATAAGTAAAACATCAGTATAAAATATCAACTAACAAGTGGACGTGAAAGGTGGAAAAAAAGAGATGGATACATAGATGAATATTAAAATGTAAATAATAAACGTCCAATGTGTTACGTTAGCTAAACGAAGAACGAAAAGTGCCAAGAGATTTGCGAAGATGTTCAGCGTCATTGCAACGTGCCAGGGAAATTTCCTTTCTCTCATGGTCTCATTATCGGACCTCACCGTGAAACTGATCCGTCGAACTAACCTCCTATTCATCTCCTATTCACCTCCAATTCACCAGCATCACAGTCATCCTGTTTCTAACTTACCAATCTATAGACTCGTGTTTATACTTACGTCTAATTTTCAAAGCCATTCACGATATTATAATTACAATATTTCTATATCTATTTTAGAACTTCTAATTTCGTATTTCTTAAAGTACGAGAAATAAATATTTGTCTCTCAAGAGATTTCAATCTTTGTTTCTGTTAAAGGAAATTTTTTAAGAGTAAGTAAAGTGGAGAAAAATTTTCTTTTTCTTTTTCTTTTTATATATATATATATATATGTGTCATTCAGTAATTATTATAATATATAAAATGATAGATAAATTTGTTAAATCTTGTTAATCTTCGTAAGTAGTTCAAGACAAATGATTTCGTAATCGTGTTCTTTCTTGTATTCCTTTTTTATTTTTATTTTTATTTTTATTTTTCGTGATAGCTACATGCGTGAATTCGTAGTTGTAGATTGCAATCGATCGTTACGTGGAGTTAATATTTACGTTCCAGGTGGACGTTTTAATTATGTGAGTTCTACCCGTCTGTCGATGACATCGACCAGGTCCTCATGATGACGTAATCCTGGACTCGATATAAATCGAGCACGTTCTGGGATACATGGTGGGTGGTAAAGGAGGAGGAAAAGGAGGAGGTAGAAGAGGAGAAGGAGGAGGAGGAGGAGGAGGAGGAGGGTAATAGGTGGTGAACGCACGAGGGTTCATAAGTGGGAGATATAGGAAGGAAGGGGGGAGAGAGAGAAGGTCGATGCACAATGAGTTATTTCGAGTTACTTAGCTCATCGACCTGAATAAATACGATGTCGAAGAATTTCACATGTTTCTATATAATAATATTTGATAAATTTTGATAAAGTGTCATTAAGTTGATTAATAATAAAAATAACACCTCCTTACTCGTGGCTCTAACTAATAACAATAATGATAATGATAATGATAATGATAATGATAATGATAATGATAATGATATTTATTAAATGAATTACAACCCTTAGATATGGTAATATAAAAGGGTACAACAATGAAAAGGAAAAACAAAGAAAAAAAAAGAGAGAGAGAGAGAGAGAAAATATTGACAAATATCAATCGAAAAATTGACAAATGGATCAATCCATTAAACGATCCTAATAAATTATTTTTATTTGATCTAATAATTAAAAATACTATCGTCATTTAAACTTGAATATAATTTTTATCCAATTAAAGATAAATTTCGATCGAGAAATCTTTGTATTTTATATATGTATATCTATATAAAGAAACAATTCATATATTCTACGAAAGATTAATGAAATCATGAAAGATTATGAGATAGCCTTGAAGAATTGTATTATATTATAGCTACTTATAATGGCTAATCATTTTTGTTGAAAGAGATGAGTTTAGTCCTTGAGAAATCAAATTAAGAAATGATTTCTCTTGACGAACTTCTTTGAATTCTTTTATTTTAATACTTTTAACTTTTAATGGATGTGTCTTTATTCGTTCTTCAGGTTTAAAAAAAAAAAAAAAAAAAAAAAAAAGAAAGAAGGAAAAAAAATGAAAGGAAAAGAAAAGGAAGAATAGAAAAAGTAAAAAAAAAAAAAAAAAAAAAAAAAAGAAAAAGGGAAAAAAAAATACAGGGAGAGAATAATTATCGTAAAAATTGTAGCGTGCAGCGAATGGCGAATGGATCTCATTAATTTCAAGGTCCTTTCGTCTTCCTCGATTATTCCTACGAGTATCTAATTATTATATATTGTTCGATTGTATCGAGAAAGGTCGTGGTGCTGTTACTGTAATTTTCATTCTTCTTTATATATTCTCATCATTATTTATTCATAATATTTCCAATACATTATAACAATGCAATCGATCGTTCATTATTAATATTTTTCATACTAATATCTTTCACAATTTTAAATTCAAATATAATATATTATTTAGTTCTATTCAGAAACGTATCGTCCTTATATAGAGACTCGAATTCCGGAAGTACTACATTAGAGAAAGAATCGATGAAGCCATTTGGGAAGGGTCTTGTCGTTTAATTAATTACTAAAGTGACCCAAATCTTATACCATTTTTATTTTGTTTATTTAAATAAATTACATTTTATCCGATAATTAAATCAGAATAAAATATTATTCAATCTATGAGAATTAATAAAGGTAATTACTTAAAATATTATTATTATTATTATTATTATTATTATTATTATTATTATTATTATTATTATTATTATTATTATTATTATTATCATCATCATTGTCCTTTGTTCAACTATGTTGTGGAAAAATCTGAAATAAATAATTTGATTCAATTATTTTTTAGACTTTTCGATTGGATCAATTTTTGTCGGCAATAATATATGAAAATAATTGTTCTCATTGAAAATAATCATATCATACATATCTACAAATATACGGATATATTAAACATATAATATATCTCAGAGTATTCTCTTAAGTAAAACGTGATACCGATATCTTATCCGATAGAAGGGATCGTTCGAGTGATGTTGTACGACCCAATTCGAAATCCACCATGATCGATAAATCACCAAGCGTTAATCCAAAATGATTCTCATAAGTATTATCTGTAGAGATTGGATTCGTTTCTTTGAAGAATCAAGAAGAAGAAAGATAAAAGGAGTAAAAGTAAAAAAAAAAAGAAAAAAAAAAGAAAAAGAAAGAGAAAGAAAGAAAGAAAGAAAGAAAGGAAGGAAAAGAAAAGAAGTACGAAAAAGAGAATGAAAGATAGAGACGGGTACTAGCGTATTACGTACATATACCTGGATCGATCTTTTGAGGAAGGGCAAGCGCAGAAGTTGAAGGAAGAAACGAAACTAGACTTGCGACACAAAATCATCTCTCTCTCTCTCTCTCTCTCTCTCTCTCACACACACACACACAATCTTTCTCTTTCTCTTCTTTTCTCTTTCTCTATCTTTCTCTTTTTCACTCATTCACTCTTACCACATTTGTTCCTCTTGAGTGAGAAAATCGGTCGGCAGGATAGATAGATCCGTGACGCCTCGTAGCTCCTTCGCGGCATATAATCCCTTTAATCAATTAGCTCGACGTCGAAATGAAGCAATTCTCTTGTCGAAGAAGATGAGAGAGAAAGAGAGAAAGAGAGAAAGAGAGAGAGAGAGAAAGAGAGAGATAAGGAGAAAGAGTGAGATAGAGGTATATATGATGTGCTATGAAGAAAGATGGAAATATTGAAGGAGGTGGGATTCTAAAAGGCAACACGTTCGCCTTCTCGATTCTTATTCGTGGTAAAACGAGACGTAAGCATGGATATTAATTATCTAGGGCAGAACATAGTGCTCTCATACAATGCTCCATCTTTGTGTCGAGGATCTTAGCTACATCGATAGATGAGACAGCCCACCCGTGACTTTCGCTTTTTCCTACCCTCCAGCCATTATCATCATCGTTCTCTCTCTCTCTCTCTCTCTCTTTCTCTCTCTCTCTTTCTCTCTTTCTTTTTCTTTTACTATTTTTTCCCTTTTTTCCTTCTCATGCACGATCGCCTCATTATCTATGAGTTTGTCGTAAGTTGCAAAGAGAAAGAGAGAGAGAGAGAGAGAGAGAGAGACAGAGAGAAAATTAGTATACATCGGAGATGTCTTTGAAGATCATTCGGTTGAATTAATTTCGATCGAGTTTCGAGGTCGAAAAAGCATGATTTATATCAGGAAGCAAAGGATCGATTGAACGATTGATCGATCGATCGACCATGATCATATTATTTTTCTTAAAAGTGTATCCATTATTATTCTTTATATGTGTTGTAAATCAATGACACTTACTTTATCTAGAGTTAAACGATAAAGAAGATACGAAACTGGGCCAACTATTTATATTACCGCAACGTTTGTCATAGGTGGATGATGCATCAACAACGTCTCGTGCTCGTTATTATTATTGCATATACGCAATAGCAATAATAAATCGACGATTTAGCAAGAGTTATTTCAGCAATCGGTAAAAGAGTTCTCTTTGAGAATACCTTTAAGATGCGGTTCAATTTTTGATTATACTCGCTTTAAATATTTTTATTCTTAATTATTGGATTAATTAGTAATCCATTCTCTCAATGATATATTTATCTATATCGGTAAAAAAGTTCGCTTTGAGAATACCTTTGAGAAGCGATTCAATTTTTGATTATCCTCACTTTAGATATTTTTATTCTTAATTATTGGATTAAATTAGTAATACCTTTTCTCAATGATATATTTATCTATACATATATACTTACATATACACTGACGTACGTATGTATACATACATATATATATTTATGTATGTATGTATGTATGTATGTATGTATGTGTTTCTTTCTATTCTATTCCTTCTCTTCTATCTTATTTCCCAAAGGAGACAACTGCGTGGGAAAATATCGACTCGAGTTAAGTTCCTTCCTTCATGTTTGTCAATGAGATAGGAAATGCTGAGGATAAAAGTTAGATCTTGAAATATCATCGAATTTAATTTCTCTCGTCTCTTCTCTTATGCAATTCAAAAGCATTAGACAGAGAGGAAGAGAGAGAGAGAGAGAGGAATTAGCCATTCCACGACGTATTACAAGATAGAGATCTATTTATGCACAGTGATGAAATCCCATTGTGTGATCTCTTTCACAGACACACCATCAGACATATTCGATCTATACTAATCTTTAATAGATTCGACATTTGTATTTTGTAGATTAAACGATCAAATAAATTCGATCATAGTGTTTAATCTAATGTTTTCACGCGATACAAATCTAATACTTGCCCTAGAAATTCTGTGTTTGGTGATATAATCAAAAAGAGAGAAAGAAAGAGAGAGAGAGAGAGAGAGAGAGAGAGAGAGATGAATACTATTTTCTCTTAACTAAATTTTCTAACATTGTTCAAATTCTCTTTTACTGCAACTCTGTTAAATAAGATCATAATTTCGTGCCAACGCCAGACGACAAACCGTCGTTCTCCTTCCTTGATAAGCTCGTGCATGCTGAGATTTTAATACTTTTTTTTTTATCCCCCCCTCTCTTTCTCTCTTTTATTCTTGCGTGATTACGAGTCAACGGCAGTTCGCACGTTCTTTGAATTCGTCAAGGCTAATGAGGCTCGATTGATCGTGCAGATGACTAAGATAATGAATTATATATATATATATATATATATATATATATATATATATTATATTATATTAATTTATTTATAAATATCAATATATTTTACATGAACATATATATATTATCAGATTGAATGTTAAAATGAATATAATTGACAGTTATAATAAAATTGGATTTAAACGAAAGATCTGAATAAAATAACAAATGAAATTGTATTAAAAATAAATGTCGTTTTATTACTCGAACAACTTTAAAATAATCATATTTTGAATAGATAAATCTATACGTGATTTTTCATTTACTAATTAAAGATTTAAATGCTTCGATTGAGTTAAAGGAACATTAAAAATTAATCTAACGTCTGACCTAAATGATTTAGATAATTACCTAATGATTTAGATAACGAAAACTAAGCAACGTAAGTGTAAGATCTATAAGATACGTTCTTTTCTTTACGTCATGATGATCTTTCTCGAGCGATCCTCCATCCAGGATGACATCAAGGCCGTCAAAGCGCGTCTCTAACCATGTCTCAACGATGTCGTTCCCATCCATACTCGAGAAATCGAGATCGTTGCGAGTTAGCATGACTCTGAAATAAAATAATCGTGCGAGATTATGGGGAAAAGAAAAATGAAAATGTGATGGCGTCAGCCTTGAAATAGGAACAAATTGAAAAGGACGTGTTTTTTTTTTTTCTTTATTTCTTTTTTTTTTTCTTTTTTTTCCTTTTTTTTTCTTTTTTTTTTTTATTTTGAAGTATATATTCAACGATTGAATCATCTATAGTAATATCGTCTATTTTTAATAAAGGAAAGATTAGGAATAAAGAAGGAGACCTTTTAATTATTGAATTAATTAATTTTTTTCTTTCAGATTAATTTACACACACAATATATATATATATATATATATACATATATTGATAGGATTTATTTCGAATAAGATGAGACGTAATATTATTTACTCATTTCTAAAATTAATTTGACATAATTTATTTCAATATGTATAAGTATAAAAATTATTGGAATATTCGTAAAATGGATAAATTAAATTACATAATATAAATGACAGATTGGAGAAGTATATTTATTAATATTAGATATAACATATATATATATATATATATCAATGTGACATAATTTATTTCAAATATCATATATAATAAATGAATCATTGAAAAATAATACAATAGATATAAAATGAAAGATTTTTCATGAATGACGATATAATTTATATATAATATAAATGATACGTTACGTATACGTAATGTCATTAGATAAAATCATTAGAATAATTGTAAATAAATATGATAAATGTTTAGAAATGAAATATTAAAATAGAAAATGATTAGAACATCTTATTGAAACGAAGTTAATGCCAGTGTTTCTTTCTTGATTATCATCTTAGAACTCAGAAAACGAAATGCACACACACGAAGGTGCCCCC